CTGCATTCCAGCCCCCAGTGCTTGTGGTCATCTTCACCTGGACTGTTCAACTAAATAAAACTTAGAATTAGTCTAAAGAAAAATGGTCCTCTGTGAAAGCTGCTAGATTTATTTACCAGGGCTTCACATGAAACTCTACCATGTTGCTCTCTCCGAACTGTATCTATTCCTTCCACTACTCAAAATAAGTCAGCTAGATTCAAGCTTCCCTACTTCCCAGGAAAGTTCTTATTGACAAATTTCAAAATTTTCACTCTTCCTTGTCATTTCTCTAACTGCTCAATTCTTCATATCTTAGACAACTAGTGTACAAATTTATATTGACTAGTAGCTTTAGCCATGAGGTAGTTTCAGACAAGTCTTCCAAGACTCACAATTTAAACAAACAGTCAAAGAAAGCATGCAGAATCAATTATCAATATTTTAATTTCCTTAGCATCCCTCATGCTTAGGGTGTAATGTTTTGAAACAGCATTTTAAAACTGAGGCAGTCTCAGGCCAACCCACCTTGGTGTTTAGGAGGAAAATCTCTGCCAAAGCTGGTGAATGTTCTGTGAGTGCCAACATGTAGGTTCATGTGAAGGCCTTCCAGTGTTGTCTGGCTGCTGTCCTGGACAGCTCCTGTTTTGTGACTCATCAGGAAATTTGGATGTTCATCAGCCTCACCTTTCCCTGGCGACTCAAATAAAACTGGCCAGGAAAGGAGCAATGATGGTTCTGAGAGTGGATGTACACCAAGGATATCCAAGCATGGAGGAGGCTGGAAATCTGAGGAGTCAGTTTTTCTCCTCCCAGAAGAGGAGACAAAGTTTCTGTGCTTGTGCTGGAAGCCCTAATGATGGGGAAAACATCCTGAGAGATGTTTTCAAAACGTCCAGGGAATTAAGAGACAAAAATATTCCCTCTGTGGGCTTTCTCACCTGCCTGGGCAACAGCAATGGGCAAGATTTTTAACCTTGCTTTTAACAAAAATATTAAAGCCTATAATCTGCCATGAAGATTTCCTTATCTGAGAATCAATTTTTAAAGAATATTTTCAGAATTTGCCTAGTTTTAATTTTATCTTTTTTATCAAGCTCTAAAATGGCCATAGATGGATTCATGCAAACTGTCACAAGAATTCACCTTTCTTTTTTGGTAGCTTAATCTGAAGTGGCTTTAACCAAAGATAATGATAAACAGGAGTAAGTATTTCTGTTGAAAAGATCACTTTGTCACCCCCTTAATCCTTTGTTGTGAAGGCAGCTCTTGAACACATGTGATAGTCATGCAGGTTTCATGAAATTGACATAGAGCATAGTATTCATGATCTGTCTTTCAGCTCCTAAATAAAATCCTGTGTAAGTCAGGTGTGGGACCAACCAGACTAAAACCAAAGTAACTAAAATCAAGTAGAGCATGAGATTTGCCCTGGAACTAAAGGCTGAACGAAGAATTAATCTCTCCCAGGGTAGGCTAGAATAATATTCCCATCTCCTCATTCAGATTTTAAGATCAGTACCCACATTTCATAATTTGGAAATGACAGCAATTTCAAATTCATGTTAAATATGCTTCCAGGGGAATATTACAGTGGTAGAAGATGAACTCTTCTGGCATGGCAAATGGATAGTAGTAGTCAGAACACTGAGGAAATGCTGTTTTGCTCCAACAGTAATTGTGGAAGCTGAGCCAGACTTCTGGCTCCCATGTCCAACGGTGGCTGTTGTCCTTGCACATTTGTGTCTGAGGCCAGTCTAACATAGAGGTGCTGAGCTCTGTTTAATGCTCCTGGACTTAATGCTCCCAGGAATTAGACCTCCTATTCTTGCAGTCTCCAATTCCAGCATGCTGGCAGAGTTGCCTTGTTTAGTCCCTGACTTTAGTAAGAGCAACTTGTCAACATCTTCAAAGGCTGGATGAAGAGGATTTGTGTTCCCCCTGCCCATTCCTTTCTGTGTATTCCCAAGAGGAATGTCTGCCTGAGAACTGGAAAAAACTGCTACCCTGATGTGTGAGATTTCTGTTTGTTTGTTTTTCTCTGTCCTGTTGTCCTCAGTGCAAGTGTTTGGCTTAACTCAGGATATCGTGCCCAGCCAGGCAGTCTGGGAAAAGCTGGCAGTTGTGTCTGGGGGCAGGGGTGGGGGGGAAAGAAAGTGTTATTTTTGCAGAGCTGTAAGTCCAGCACCTTTTGCCAGTGCTGCATCTTTTTTTATTGCTTGTTTCTAAGAAGGTATTGCTGCAACAGCACCAGCTGCAAACAAAATCTTGTTTGCTCAAAGTTCACGATAGGACAGGTCACGCATTTTGAACATTTGTGGGACACTCGTAAAGGAAATACAGAGCGCGCTTTCCAAAAGCTTCAGCTTGAAATGCAACAGTTTCCTTGCTGCCTGGAGCTTCAATGTCAAAGAGATTTCTATTTTTAGAGAGAGATTCTACTCAAAGAACTATATAAGGCTGTGCTGGGAGACCATTACTTTTTTATTATAGAGAAGAGTATTTGTTACTCAGTTGGGAAGAAAAATTCTGTATAAAAGTGAAAACCACAAAGATACTGTCATCTGGTTGTCTTTTGTGGGTGAGAAGGAACTGAGAGGAAAACTGAAGACTCGATATTTGTTTTTCAATATTCTAATTTCTCTCAACTTCTTGAAACAAGTGCTTTAGCCATTTAAAATGTCAGACAAGGCTCTTGATCTGAAATGATGATGCAAGAGGGAAGAGAGACCTCCAAGCAGAGTTTGATGCCGAAAGACAACTTGCTATGCTAACATGTGACAACACAAGGGAAAACACCACAAATAATCATTGTTTTCTTAATGGGGAAACTAAGTAAAGCTTGATGTTACAGATTCAGCCTTTACAGGTACATATTTGTTAGTTATCCTGAGTACAAAGTGGACCTAAACTGAACAGGTGCTGCAGCAAAGCCATCAGAGACAGTGGTCAGGTGGGCTCTGAATAGTAGTCATAGCTAATGGCAGGAAAATGGACGAGTATCTGAAGTTCTGGTTTGCTGGGGAGGCTTCTTCTGAAGCTTGATTTTTAGTCACATAGAATCATCCAGGAAACACCTAACTCTGTTACCCTTAATCTCTGGGCTTGTATTAATAGAGAGAAAAAAATCTGTACAGAATTGGACAAACTTGTGCTCTCAATTAATGTTCTCACTGTGATTTCTCTGGCAGTTTGGAGAGGAGCTGTTGGATTTCGGGTCTGGTTGGACTTTCAGAGGCAGCCCAGGTGACACTGGTTTTAGCAGCTGTTGCCAATGTTAGCACAGCAGCTGGAGCCAATTTGGTTTTGCTTTGAGTAAGGACTAAATGAGGTAACAGAACTAAATTAGCGACACCGGGTCCACTTCTTCTGTAGTCCAACACAGCTGCTGTGATGAATTCTGAGTTAGGGATGGGACTGAAATGATGCTGGTCTTACCTTGCTCAGGGTTTCTACTTCTGTTTGTATGTTGTCTGGCTAGCTGTGACATAACCCCTTTGGCTCCAGGGGAAAAAAATGGGGAACAGCTACACTGAATGAGGGGTGAAAATAACAGGAACTGGAAGTAATGTGTGCATTCCTTTGACATAAGGAAAGACAGTGCTCTTGGGCTGTGCAGGGGGTAAGACATTGCAGACAAGTCGGTGGCAAAGCTGGAGTATGGGCAGCAATGGCTGAACAGCTTGAATGAGGGAAATTCTTTCATCCACTCAGTGCACTGAGCCAGGAATAGCACCTCTACTTTGACTTTTTTTTTTTTTTAAATTCAAAAGAAATAAAATTACGAGCATTTAGAAACACGGGACGTACTGATCCTGGCTCATTCTTAACTTGATGAGAAGCAGTTCAAGTACGTCGGGGCACACGGGCACCTTTGCAGAGTTATCGGTGAAATCAGCTTTAATTCCTGGCACCGGTGCGGGTACGGGGCAGGCCGGGATCAGCTGCGGGCCCGGCTGGCCCTTGTTGTGCTGGAGCTTGGGGGCTGCACCTGCGGGCCCGAACCGAGGCACGGCACAGCCCGGCCCGGCCCGGCCCGGCGGGAGCGGGCCCCGCTTCCCGCGGTCTCGCACTGCCCCCTGGCGGCCAGCGCTGAGGGCCTGCCGCCGTCAGGGAATTGCAGGAATGGCGAGGCGTCATTCCTGAAAAACCTGAGGAACGTGGCCCTAGCTCTGCTGTACCGTACTGCTAAAGGCCTCGTGCGTTCTCCAGGAGGGCGTCCACACAAAGCAGCCCCTCACCCGTACAGGAGTCGGAAGTGTCTCTTCCCTCTGAGGTGCCTCTGTCCCTCCCCTGAGGATGCTCCTCAGAAATGTCCCCATGGCCGTCCCCTCGTCCTTCCCCGTGTGCCCACTGTGCCGGCGAGCCCTGCCCAAAGGCGCGTTCCTCACTCGATCCCCTTGGCAGCTGTCTCCAGGCAGGAATCCCGGGCTGTCTTTCCACAGTTCCTGGACAGTTTCCTTCTGGGATTAAACAAATCCCCGCACTGTTTGCTGAACGAGCAACTGGCTGAAGGTTGGGTAATTAATTCTGACTTTTGCTTGCTGGGCATTCAGGTGGCAATGAACTTTTTCCGTCTCGTTTTTAATAACAGATGCAGAGATTTTCTGATATTGACAAGCCGCTTCTTAAAATGTTGTACATCTGCTCAGTCATTTGTCTTAATGTATTCTCAATTAATTTCTTCAGTGTGGTTTCCACTGAAGTTTTCAAGCTTCACTTGTAAGACACTGTTCTGCGCTTTAATTTGTTTTTATTTTGTTAGCTACTGTCCATAGGGAGATCAGACCTGATAATTGCTAAATAACTAAAAGCTTCCATTTCATCAACACTACCTTTTTAATGATAGGAATGTATTACATAGTGTTTCCATTTGTAAAATGTAAATATGAATATGTTAATATACAAATGCCTATGCCAAGATGATAAAAGACTATAAGCTCCAAGGCACTTTTGGACCTGAGAAAAGGAAGTATTTACTGAGGCAAGATCTCTTTTTAGTTTGATTACAGCAAAGAATATAATCCTGCATCACCTGAGCTTTTCTCACTACGTTGGTTGGACATGTCAAAGAAAAAACTTGGAAGTCCTGAAAACCAGGGAGACACAACATCACACCTGAAATTTTAATCATCATTGATTGATCATCTGCAATGGTTAGTACAAGGATACATATTTGATCATTTAAATTGGTTTATATTCATATTTCAGTTGCAAAATCTTTTTGAAATATTAACTTCAAGATTTTGGTGCCAGTATAAACTCAATCTGCAATTTTTTCTGAAGATTTGTTCCAATGTCTGTCTCTCATGCCCCTCTAGATAAGCACACTTCTGTTTTCTGGGCTCAGTAGTCTCTAATCATGTCAGACAGTAACATATTCTGCATATTAAAAAGTCCTAAATGATGTAGTGAGCCCAAGCGCTTCTTTAACACAAAAGAAGCAGCACTTTCTTACTGAAATGCTGCTGTAGGAGACAAATAGGATTAAGCAACACCACTGTGTTGTAAACAAACACCATCAGTCTTTAAGTCATGATTGTACAATTATTTCCTCAGGCCTCCTCTTATTAGCTGAAGGATAACTCAGCAGCACAAAATGCACAATGTTACAAAAACCAGCTGCACTGTGCATGTGTTTGTGTGAGCCTGAAAGTAGTTAAGGATAAAGATTTATTTGAGAAGCCACCAATTCCAAAATATTTGTAAACATCTTACTACTCCCAGAGTCCTTTTGTGTAGCTGTTTTGAAACATGTTTGCTGTGATACTTGCTCTGAGCATCCAAGAAAGAAGTAAACAAACTGGGTAAAAGAAATGAGATTGAGGGGAAATGCTAAATGGTTATTTTTCTTGTGAGTACTTTTAAGTATTATCTGATTATACATGACCATAAATGCTCGTCATTAGAACTGAATATTTGAACATCACAGATAAAGTACACCAGGCAAACGTAGGATGGGATTTTTTTGCCTTTTACACCACTATCCTTGCTTTTCTTTGATACAGAAAAAACATTATAAAAGTGTTATGGAATTATCATAAATCATGCATATAAAAACATAACTGACGCTATTAAAACCATATCTTGACGAGTTGTAACTGCTATCTCTAGCTTTAGAAAATTCTGGATTTCTATGAATGTTCATCTCCTCCAGAGGGCCCCAATCTCTCTTTGAACAAGCCAGATTATGTATTGAAGCAGGGCAGTGGAGTTTGATCCGTTTTGATAATTACTGGTTTTTTTGGCTCCTGTTGCTAAGTGCACACACACATGCTGTGCCCTTTGTACAATGCGATATAATGTCGCTTTCCTTTAATGAGACAATAACAACGACCTTCACGGTAATTGAGTGGAATTTTAGTGGAAAGCTTTGCCACCGGTGCAAAGTTTAATTGTGCTTGTCAGGCGAGCCTGCTATTTTCTGATTAGAGGTTTCCCGAGTCAGCTGGTGTTACAGCTGAAGTTAATCTGTGCCCTGGCTGCTCTGTGCTCGTCTCAAACACCAGAGGGCAGTAAATCCCCACGTAAGGAAAATGAAAATGTCTGCTCGTAGAAAAATTATCATCCCCTTTCCATAAAATCCCGCTTCCTAGTCATTCCCTATCAGAAATGGCCACTGAAAGGCATACTCAAAGTAAATTTCAATAAATTAAATATATAGGTATCATGATGTGTTGTCCTGCCGTTTTTGGTTTGGTTTGGGTTTGGTTTGTTTTTTTTGTTTTTTTTTTTTACTTAGTAGTCGTAATTCAATTCAAAAAAACAATTCAATAAACTAAGACGGTTTTGTAAGTAAGTGTAAATTTCAGGCCAGAGTGCTGTTTGCTACTCTGCATATGCTGTTATCTTGATATATTGTGAAAGAGAGCAGAGAAACAAGGACAAGGGAAAAAGAAAAGGAGATAAGGTCAAAATTAAGATTCAGGAAAAGGAGTAGTACAACCACAAAAAAACATTAGCTGCTACTACAGTAGTGGGTGTCTTTTTTGTAATTTTCCATGTCTGAATATTTTTTGACAGAAATGAAATATGAGCACTAAGATCTGTTCAGATAGGCTGAGGATGATAAAAAAACCACAAACCACCAAAATGCAATAAATCAAAAAACCCAGAAAGCTTGGGACTTTCCTTCATTAAAACTCTTTGCTCCTCAAAGCTATTGACTTTAAAACTCAGTTTTACAAAGATGAGTAATTTGATGTGAAATATTCTAGCAGCTCTTTATTAAAAGACATAATTTCTGATGGAGGCAAGCACATTCATATTGCACATTCAAAGTATTGCAAATTCTTCAGTACCATTTTCACATTTCTTAATCCATTTTTACAATCTCTTCAGATTAACAGTAAGAATCACAAGTTTGATCTAGCTGAGATAGGAACATTTTATCTTTTTTTTTTTTTATCCTCACTAAGACCATTCTCATAGAGCATTTCTTGTTCTTCTCTGTCTTCTCATGTGTTATTTGATGTGAGAACTTGAGGCTTTTCACCAAATCTCTCTGTGCAGGAAAGTATCCCCATGGGATTGAAAATTGGCTCTTATCATTAATGACAGATCTCCTGTGAGTTTCTGTATTTCCTTACACAAAGCATACCATGCTTTATTGCCAGAAGATTCTATCTTTGATTGGAAAACTACTAATGTTGTACTCTGAGACACCAGGGAAGAAATTTCCTTGCAAGCCTTTGAAGCTTGTATCACTTATGCTTTGTATCAAGCATTTATCATTATTGTCTGACTTTGCAGGGTTAGATCCTTTGGAAAATGGTATTTTAAAGGAAAAAAAAAAGTAACATTCTACATCCAAGCAGTGTTGGATGTACTGTTTACATATACTGTTTACTGTTATATACTGGATATACTGTTTACATATACTTAGGTAAAGGATGCCCTTTTATTACTTCTTTTCATTAATCCCTCAATGAAGCAAGAGTACACACATATAATTGACTAATGAGAGCCCACAAGGTGTGATTGTTGGCATTGTAAAAGAGCCACATTGAAAATGATCTGGCAAGACAAAAAGCAAATTTTTATAACTTGTTATAGTAACACAAACTTTTTCACTTGGAAAATAGAATTTATAAATCAAGATGTGTCTTGTGGATACCAGTTCAGCCACAGAGGTTCTGGAGTGGGCTTAGTGGAGTTCTAAACTGAATAAGGGAAGCCTGGGGCAGGAGATAGGTGGTAGGGTTTTGTGTTGTCTGTTGGGTCCTTTCCTTAGGAAAGGAGGGAAACATGATCCTGGGCCATATTAATAGGATAGCTCAATCTGCAGAACATGGGAGGTAATTATTCATCTTGGTGCTGTGAGTACCCTGTCAAGTTCAGAAAGATGTGGGCAAATTGGAAAGGGTCCAAAGTAGATCAGTAACTATGCTCAAAGAGTTAGAAAGCACGACCTATGAGGAGACTGGGGAGGAATTTACTGTGTTCACTCTTTCTCTTTTGGAAAAAAACCCCACAAAACCAAGAATAGAGATGGGAGGGAGGACATAACCTCTTCACAGCAGGAAACTATTATAAAGAAGGCAGGAAAAATTTTGATTCTTTTTTGGAGGCTTAAAACAGCAAGAAATCAACTTTGCAGTGAAGAAAATGCAAGTTTATATATTCAGTATTTTTGAGGACAGTGAAGGATTTTGCTAAGTTAGGAGTCCTGCAAACTCCTTCACTGAAGGATTTTAGAAGAGTTTAGGTAAATTTCTGTCAGGAATTGCCTATGCTGGTTTAATCCTCTGGGCTAGAAGCTGGTTACAGTGGTTCTTGAGTGAAGTTTTACTCTGGCCGCAAGTCCTGATTTATGGTGACTGAGGTTTTGACAAACCCCACTGCAAGAGGTCATCAGTGTGGTTGGTAGATGTGAGGTGTTTCAGCTCCAATCAGTGGAGTAACAGCCCCTCAAGGCTCAAGCAGCCCCACACATCTCTGCTCAATGGTAGCAACCATCCAAATAATCTTATGGGAAAGGGGGAAAACCAGCCAGGAGCCCAGTCTACAGGACCTGACTGAATGTGTAGCTGCCACAGAACTGAAAAGGCCCACGCAAACATGTATTGAATGGTGCCCCAAACAGCCTTCGTTCATCTCAGCCATATTTTTGAGAGAAAGAGTGCCTGCAACATGAATACTTGAAAGCACAGAGGCACTTTACCTCTGTGTCTGAAAAGAAATAGCATAAGAGAAGATAAATGCATTTCTTCCTGGAATAACTTAGCGCAGAATTGAGACTCCACAAGGCCCAGGCTGGCTTCACTCAAGAGGGCAGCAGACACAGAAGAGAGTATATGATCTCTCCCATTCTTCTGGGGTCAGTGCAGGAAGCTACAGTCTGTGCTAGAGAGGATTCTGCAATCATCTTGATAAGGTTACTCCACTTGTTGGTGTCTAGCAAACTCTGGTTATGGAAAGTAAGACTCCTATAACTCCCAGTGCCTTTATCAGGCATCTGGACTCATCTGGCAAAACAGATTTCAGATCACTTTTACCTACCTCCCAAAGTATGGCTGAGATGAGTTAAGTGTCTGGATGACTCAATGAACAAGTGCTTCATTTCTTTCCTGTCCCAAGTTCATGTCTAATATGGAGAATCTGGAATGGCTTTGACGTCACCCTAATCCACTGCAGATGCTTGTTCACCTTGCATTTGGAGAATACTGCATTAAAAGTCATCTGCATTGAAGAGGCCCTACACACTGAAAAAGAGCAGCTCAAGACTGAAACCCACAAAAAACTTCTGGAAGTCTCTTCTTGTTACTGCATGTATGCAGTGAGATGTAGAAAACTCAAACAATTCCTGGCGTGAATAATGTAAGGAAATTAACTGTTTGATTTAGCACTGCTGTCCACCCTCTCAATCAATTGCTGCATTTAGGCTTGCTGTGAGCACTGTGTCACAACAGCTGTGCTGGCTTCCTATTCACACTATCAAGTACCAAAATGTCAGGAGATTCACTCAAAGACTAATGCCTTGTAGAGAGTCATTGGATACGTATAAACTGTAGCTTCAGCTCTGAGCAATAAATGTGGGAATGCTATATACCACCCCTCAAGTGTGCACCATGTATGTGTGGACCACCAAGTATGTGTGGACCATGAAATGATAAAATCTTTCCCTACAGTTAATTATGACTAATGTAGAGATTTA